TCATCCTGACCCACCACGTTGAGGTGGCGATGACGGAACTAAGAATCCAAATTACAGATATCCGTTATGCTATCAATGCTATATGCTGCTACTTTTGTTTGTCCATTGTCTAGCGTGTGTATCTGCAAAAGTGAAGTGCATCCTGCGTGGACGCGTGGACATATGCCAAAGATGCTTGGAATCTGCTGATAAAGCCTTATCAATCAGTGCCTCAGTGGCTCCTGTCATGAACAATGTTGACATATTTGTTGCATGGCATCAAGTGCACCCACTGGTGCGGGATCAGCCAATGGTGCTAGGGTTAGGGCTTGACGTTTGAAGCATAAAGAAAGATCATGGTGTGGTGCAGTGTAGCAGAATCATTGTGCAGCAGTGCACCAGCAGTTTTTTTTTACTCGCTTTAACTATGTCCTTTTCCATGCAGATCACTGTGTTTGTATTGTGCCAGACTACATACTGACAGCAGTAGCATGGGCGTCTTGCATATAGACTGATTGCTTTTCGCACCTGGGTCGGATGGGTTGGTTGCTTGTGACGCAAATTACCAGCAGCTGAAATACTAAAGCAAGGCAGAAAGTGTGGGCATGTGTTGTTTTGCTCCAGCTGCTCCTGTTGGCTCGGTTGTCCAGCCCATCGCATGAGAAGAACAAGAATGAGCCTCCTGAGGCCTCGTCGCCAACCAGCCATGCTTGAATATCATACCTCAAGATTTGTGCAGACCGAATGTCAAGTGTCATACAAAAAAGAGACTTCAGAACTAGTTGCTGGCAAAAATACACTGTTTGTTTTCGATATGCAGCATGTTGCTCCTAACTTTCCTCTAGCATTTGTTTATGAACAAGATCAAGAAACGACATTGCGCAATTGCCCATTGAGCCATGCCAAAGTACAGCGAGATTTCGCCTCAGGACACGGTTCAGAACGGGGGGGGCAGAGGTTCCGCAAAATAGAGGCTGCAGTATTTGGCCTCAATAGCTTCCCCATGCAGGATTTGAAAAGTCAATCGGCAAGATAGGTGACCTGGACACACTGAAATACAAATCAGCAGTTTTGCTTGGGAGATTGAAGGCTCCGAAGCTGATGAGACACTTGATGACTACCCTTTTCACATCGATTCTGTTTGGACGAACGGATCAATTGCTGATGTGCACACGTTGACCATGAAGTAAAAGCGGGACTCGGGACTCTGTCTTCTGCCTACTTGGACAGTATTTTGGGTAAAAGCGGCAGACGAACGGTTTTTCACGTCCGTCGTGTTGTTCGGAACCAGTTCAGCTCTTTTGAATTTGGCACAAGCAGAAGCGCTCCGGGATGTTTGTGACGCCATCAAACGTTCTGTAGCTGCCGATGAGAACTAACGTGGACAGAAACGCTGCCAGTACCGTTTTACGTTCGACTTGACTCACTGAAGTGTTATTATGGCTCATTCTCACACAAGCTTGCCACTGTTGTCTTAGGGCGATAGCCCTCCAGATCACAAGACGATCGACAAGCTGCTTGGCATCCAAAGTTGGAGGATCTGTCATGTTTCAAGATACAGAGCTGTCCCTGAATCAGGGCATATCATAGATGCATAGCCCTGCATAGCTGCAAATTGATCCTTGACGACAGGTCTGACGTTCCTACTTGGTGCGCGCATCCTTTGAAAACGCCCTCGTCACAGCCAAATATGTTGCTTTTTCCTGGAGAGATGACCCACCATGCTGGGATGCTGGCGGCCTGTCAGCAGCTGCCCTTGGTGCAGGAGTCTTGGGCTTTCGTTCAGCTGCCACATAGAGACACTGTAAAGGCTGTCATGTCGCATGTAGAGGCATCACAGTAAAGCCGAAGCTGAAGCAACCAAGAGTCAAGGAGATGATGGAACTTGCAACGGAAGCCTTTGACTTTGATGTACAACGGGTCTTCGAGGAGTGTGCGCCGGAAGACTTTGCAAACAGGAGAGGCTGCCAATGGGCTGGGAAAGGCTGAAGACCAGTTAAGCTTCTACTTATAACTTATAACTTATTACTACTATATATGTTATGTATACAATGTTGACTCTTGATTAATCAACCCCCCCTCCCCCCCTCAACAATTGAGACTCCAGAACAATATGCTAGAAAACCAATCAATTGATAAATAAATAAAAAATCCTTACTTAGCTACCCCTGGAGCTACTCTGGCAATACTAAAATGAAAAGGAATCAAGAAACCTAACTTTGAAGACATCTGGAATATAAAAATGAAAAGGAATCAATGGAAAAAAAGAAAACAACCCCTCAAAAAAAAACACATTATTCTGGGGGCATTTATAAATCCGTGCAGGAACAAAAACATTATTCTGGGGAGGGTCATTAATCAGAGGTCCACATTATGTGTATAAATATGTATACGTATGTATATTACAGTGTATATAATTGTATATATATATACATTGTTTTCTCTTTTGTCTTCTTTCTCTCTCAGAAGTCAGTTTCAACCTCACGGGCAGCGGCTCAGCGTTATATGTATATATATAATATAATGATATATACATATATATATATAATATATATATATATATGCGCGTAGATGAGTCTTCAAAGCGTGTGTGTGAGTGTGTCACACTCCGTCTCCACAATTTCGTTCCCCCGATGGCTTTCCCTTTACCCACGAAGAATCGCAGGGGATGGAGACACCTGTATTGCTTCTCCATCAATGAAGCTGGCAATACATGGTGAGGATATCAGTTCCGGACGCGGAACTGACGTACCTGCTTTCAACACACTGACACCATTGGTCCACCCTGCCGCTGTTTTGTCTGATTCCCCTGTGGTTCTTCATTTCCCAAACTTTTCCCTTCACCGCTGAGATGACTCACTTTTGCCGCTGCGTCACCGCAGCCTTCAACAGATGTTCAACATTTCAAGTGAGCTGACCCTTTCACCTTGCGGCTCCATCGCCTTTTCCTCGTGGGTTACGATAACTGCAAACCCTGTGACTAAGTGTGTATCGCTGTGTCTTCCCACAGGGTGCACAGTGTGATCCTCTCGCAAGAGAGGCGCTGAAGCCACTCGTGAATCACATATCGATTTAGCGTTTCCTGCACTCGTTGAATTATGGTGTTGGTTTGATTTGTCTCACCCCTGAGTCAACTGAACCATTTGCCGCCGGGCTCACGGATTGAATGCCGCCGGGCTTACGGAGAATGAACCCAAACCCCCCAAAACCCCTCCCCCCCTCCCCTCCCTCTTTCCTTCTTGCGGCTTCTTCGTTTGTTAGGTGTTTCTTCACGCTTGTTAGGTTGTTCTTGAGGCTCGTTTCCCTGCCCCTCGGTTTTTAGTCAAGGGCTAAGTCGTCAAGTGCTAAGTAATCACCTGTTCCGCAACTCCTATCTTTTTCTCTTGCCCTTTTCGTTTTGCTCTTTCTGTCTTTCTTTCTTTCTTGTCTAAGGCTTTTTAGGTACCTACTGAGGTTTTGACCCGTAATTTGCCGCTCGTGCGGAAGACATGCACGCCCTTACACCTACCTTTTTCTCCTGCCCTCTTCCCACGAAGAATCGCAGGGGATGGAGACACCTGTATTGCTTCTCCATCAATGAAGCTGGCAATACATGGTGAGGATATCAGTTCCGGACGCGGAACTGACGTACCTGCTTTCAACACACTGACACCATTGGTCCGCCCTGCCTTTTTTTGTTTGATTCCACTGTGGTTCTTCGTGATACTTCCCCAACCTTTTCCCTTTACCGCTGAGATGACTCACTTTTGCCGCTGCGTCACCGCAGCCTTCAACAGATGTTCAACATTTCAAGTGAGCTGACCCTTTCACCTTGCGGTTCCATCGCCTTTTCCTCGTGGGTTATGATAAACTGCAAACTCTGTGACTAAGTGTGCGCGCGCTCAGATGCCCCGCGGCAACCTCAAACCTGACACTTTTTGATTGCATATTCTATTCCCCAAACTTGGTGGAGGTCGGTTTCTTTTGTCCTTTGGATTTGTTCACACCTGTAACGACATACTATTGCAATTTATTGCCCTTTCTCAGATATTTTCATTGTTGTCATTGGTAACTCTCTTTGCTCATGATATCATGTTTGGTTTTCTACTGGATAAAACTAAACCATCCCAAGATACCCCAGGAATTGCAGCAGGCCTATGGCCTGATACATGCATACATGTCACACGACGCTCCGGTTTGATGATCTTGTGCGCACACGTAGCTCGGTGAATATTTCTAAATCCGTTCCTACTTGAGATCAATGGAGAGGAGGAGATGCAGACACTGTTTCGCTCAATCATATACGACCGGAAGTTTTATGAAACGTTTATTGTTTGCGCATTGGAAGTTAGCCATTTTGTGCATGAGCAGCATGGAGACTTAATATATCAGTACTTACTTTTAAATATGGTTGGAGGCCATCGCTATTAGGTTGGAGGCCATCGACATTATTGTGTGTAGTTGTGTTGCTGTGCAAAACAACTCATTGATTCGAACCGTTGATGTTCTATTGGTGTCAAGCTACAAAACTAAGTAGAAAGGTATACGTCAGGTCTTACTTCTCAGGTTTTTAGAGTCGAGTTTTTTTACATCATGAGCCTTAACTTCTGCCAGGACAGACAGAAGTCAGATGCTGGCGTATGCCCCTTCGCCAGAAATCATTTGCCAGCGTGACAAGTTCGTTCAGAGTGAGTGCCATTGATTGGGTTGAGAAGAGAACATGTCAAACCAACTGTTCAGGACACAAAAATGGATTCAGAGCCAAGGTTGCTGACTGTGCTGCCTATGAGCTGTTTCGACAACAGCAACCAGAGGTGCCATTTTGCAAATTCTCTGTGAATTGCACCGTCTCCAGAACGTAAACCAAGACTCAGACCACCCAAGATGCACAAAGAGATGTCGACTCCCTGCTTCAGCAGAGTTTTGCTGTTGGAGCACGTGTGCAGGACTACCGCTGTGCTGCATACATGTTCATTTGCATGCAGCAGTTAAGTTTGCAAGCATATCACGAAAACAGCAACGGGTTTTCAGGCAGCAGGCAATCCTCGCGCAGTTGCCGGCTTTTCGGTCGGTGAGATCGCTGCATTGGTTGCTGCTGGCATCATATCCTATGACCAAGGTCTCACAATTGTCAAGGCTTGGTTGTTGTCATCACGATAGAGCAGACGCTGGGTTGATATATATATATAATTCATTGGAAGAGAAGGATAAAAGGCATTGTGTAATCATCTCCTTGATCCAAATGGAAGACATATAGAACTTGTTTTTGTAGCACGAGCGTGAGCAACGAAGCTGGAGTATGCGGGAGTCCTCTAACTTCCACCAGTTTTGGTGCTTTGAATTTGGCATAGTTTAGTCGCTGGGTTGCGATACACAATACAACAGGCAACCATAAAAGGATACAAAAGGCAAGAGGTACATCATGGCTTCTAGCAGTTCATTTCTGAAACCTTGTTGAATCTTGTGCTTGATACTTACAGTGAATCTGCAGGCACGTGCAGAAGCCATGCAGCGGTGGGTAGATGAAGAAGAGATGGCCGCCCTGGCAGTTTTCGGCATGGAGGAGGACCAGCTCAATCATTTATGTGCTCGGGTGGATCCAGAGGGCATCATGTCTCGAATTGCAGTGGAAATCGTCAGCTGGATCCCGAATGGACTCTCTAAGTCTCTAAGTGTCAATTGAAGCAGTAAGTGTCAGCCATTAAAAGATATGCTTTTACACTTTACACATCACTCAATTGTAGAGTTCATGTAAACCGTGCACATATTTACCAAACAGCCCTCCCTTTGGTAGATAGTTCGATTGGAGCGCAGCTCAGGTAAACCTGCACAGAAGGCAGGAGGGGTTTTGAGTGTCATTGTCCAATCGCAGTTTTCTTCGACACAGAGTGGGCACATGTAGTAGGATTAGTAGGAGATCCGGTGTGCTTCCCTCATTGTCCAATCTTCCTGAGGTATTCATTTCGCATTGCTGGGGACGCAAGGGCTTTGTATGCTCGGGTGCTTCAGCGGCTGTGGAACTTCTGGAAGTCCTGGTTGAGAACGAGCCGCTTTGCTGCACAGTATGCTGAGTACGCAGCCCAGGTGTGATGGACGGCACGCGGCTTGCTTGTGCATCATGCATATGATTCACACCTTCCAACAACAAGGGTCATGTAGACTGTAGACTGTTGCTCAATAAAGATTCCCGACTCCCAATCTGTAAAAACGTGGTTTTATATGGTTTTATTATACAGTATATGTTTTATTCAACAGTCTGCATTCATTTCAATTTCGTTGTGTCATGCCGGAGTCATGCCTATGGAATTCCTACAACCCTTTGAGTTTGTTCATTGTCCGAACCACTCAAACTGCTCGAACATGCGACCTGATTCTGTAAACACGCAGCTGAGGGCTCAACAGGAGGCGGCGCTGGAGTTGCACGAAGACTTTGATGATGTCCTTTCATGTCCTTTTAAAGATACCCTGCTGCCTAGGCCATACTACAATGGAAAGACTATAATCCTGGATAGACTACAATGGATAGTACAATGGATAGACTACAATGAAAAGACTATAATCCTGGATAGATATAAGGCCATACTACAATGGGCCATACTACAATGGATAGACTTCATGATGCCAATTGTTCTCTTTCCTATTCTTTCCTGCACTGGAGTTTGACTGCTCGTGCAGAGTATTTCTCGCACTCCACTTGCTTGGCCGACAGGTCGTATACAAGCAGCGACTGGAATTTCGCTTGGACGCAGGAGAGATACTCAGCAAAGTATCCAGCTCCAGGTCGGCTAACCTGTTGGAAATGTCAGCAGCGGTGAGCAGCCAGGACATACTCCGCTTGCAACAGCAGTGGCAGCTGAGGCAGGGCTAGACAGAACAAGAATGAACAAAAGTTCAGGGCATGGAACGAGCATCATGTACCAATAACCGGAATGAAATTCCATGGAACGGGGATCAGCGATATGTGAAACAAATGTGACTCAGATCGGTTTCACATATCCTCCGCAAGGTGGAGGAAGTGATAAAGAGCATTCAAATGAGACCGTGCTGCACTTCAGCGAAACAAGCAACGACGCAGAAGAAGTCCACGATTGTGTTTACCTCTCACCAGCAGACCGCAATATTCCAAGGAATCCACCGCAATGTGAGGCGAGCCTTTCTTGAAGTGAGTATATTTTAACGAGGCATAGATTAGTGCAACAAACGGTGCAACACCAAGGAATTTGTGCAACAGACATGTTCAGTTAGCTAGCAACAGGTCTATTTCAATTGCGGCTTTCGAGTTGCTGCTGGGGAGGTCCGACAAGATTCGGCTCTTTTGCAACTGAATTTGGCCATAGCTCGGGGATCATAACAACATATAACAACTATGGCTAGGAGAGATCTATGGAATCACTGGCAGGATCCTTCAGTCTTTGCACCCTATTTGATCCAGCAGCTGCTCATGCCCTTGCGTGCGGACCCCCAGGCCTTCATCCATCTTTCGTGCGGCCCGTCATCGTCGGTCGAAGGTTGGGATGTGACCATCCGAAACAGCTTGCAGCGCGGGATTCGACGCTTCTTTGAGTGTGGGCCAGGGCAAAGCCTCAAGGCGGGGTTGAAGGTGGGCCGAATGGATTCACTCGGATGCGGAAGATGACCGATTTGTCACTTTGCCCCCAGTTGGAAATGCTTATGGTCATGATAGCATCGCAAGTTGTTGCGTATGAATCACCTGGCATGGGCATGATTTTACATGAATATCTACGATTACAACCGATGCATCCGAACATCCGATACATGAAACAGATGAGCAAAGCAATGCATGGATCAATTTATAGCATTGATATGGGATTTAAGGGCTGACGCCCGACAGCCGGTCAGGGCTACCACGATGCAGGTTATGCACGCCGGTGCGGCGCGCATTTCTAGCAGTCTTGGGTCTATGTTGAAGCCATCTCGGGTATATGTTGAGGCCATGTTGGGGTGTTTGACTTGATCTATGTTGACATGGCCTCAAGATGCAACTTTTTCCGTCCCGGACCCCCTCTCAGAGGCCCAAACCCTGTAAAAACCATGCTTTTTTGACGTGGCCAAGATGAAATCCGGCCCCATCCAAGCGCACGAAACACTGTAAAACACGACGTGCTTGAACGTCACGCGCAAAAGACACTGTAAAGCACAGGGGCGTAGATATCTCCAGGTCTAACCCCCTGGGTCGGCGGGACCCTCTCTCCTTTGGAGAGGAGAGAACCCTTCGCGACCACGGTGGGCCCCTGGCCGGATTTTGCATCGCGAACAGCCTGCGCGGCAGAACGCACCGAAGCTCGGAAGTCAGTCACGATGGTCGACACCGATTCCTCCAGGACTTGATGATCTTCAATAGCTTCACGGCGTCGCCTTCTCAGACCATCAGGCGGGTGACCACCTGGTCCAAGACCACCTCCCATGAAGGGCATCCAGGCCTCAACAGATCAAGAGGCCATCAGAGGCCTAAGCGCACACAAAGTTAAATTTGTTCCACCTTTGTGGCATGGAGTTCCATGTCTCCTCATCGGACAGGCCTGCTGAGTTGACCACACTTGTGCAGTGCTGATGCCTTTGAAAGCCGGAAAGCCGTGCATGATAAAATCGCGCGCGCGCGCGCTCGCTCGCTCGCTCTCTCGCTCTCTCTCTCTCTCTCTCTCTCTCTCTTTCTCTTTGGATACATGTTTTGGGTTTGATGGATGTTGGTGGTTCCTTGTTTCGTTTTGTTTGCGGGATTCCTGGCATATTTGGACATGACATGGGTTATTCAAAGCTGCCGAAGGACATCCATCGTTCAACTTTCAAACGCAGACAGAGAGTAATGTTGGATACTGCAGACGGGCATGGCTGGGCGGGAGGTGTCATTTTGCGCACATGGCAAACCGAAGATGGTGTAGCTACTGCGGAAGGAAACACGGAGAAGCCATAGCTTCAGCAGTTGCACCATGCTGCGCCGAAATTCCAACAATCATTGTAAATTTCCTTGTCGCCATTTGTTTGGCTCAAACCAGCAATGCGCTGGCCTTGCCTTCAGGCTGGGTAAACAACCTATCACTGCAAACCAAGAAGAGTGGAGTTCTGCAGGCTCCAGGGCAGCGCAAGCGGCACCCCCAGTCTTCACCTGTTTTGGGTGTTTCGAGAAGTTTGGCTGTTTCAACCCCAATCTTTGAATTCGGCCAACCAGGTCACGCCATCCTCCTATTTCCAATGCCGTTAACAAGCAGCCAGGCTTGGACAATGGCAAAGTGTGTTAGGAGATGTTAGGAGTGAGACGATGATAGGCAGGTCAAAGAAATTGAATGACTATCGATGATGCACCAGGCATCAAAGATACTCTATAACGCTCTGCAGGCTGGACATGCAAATCAGTCATCAGCGTTGACACCCTTTATATAGTAATAGCATCTCCAAAAATTGTGTTAGAGTGATTATATGTGATTGTATGTTACTGTAGTATTTGCACGGCTCTGCAATGTAGCTGGAGAAAACTCCTTTTTTCCCCAATCAAGGCAAGCCAAGATGAAGGGATATGAGAACACAACATGATTGAACTAGGTGTTCGGTTGTGTCATCGAAGTCATGCTCCAGGCGGCTATATTGTTTGGATTCGTTGGCTTTGTCTTTACATCAATCCTGCCACCACCTAAGCACAGCAGAACACTGAGCGAAGACGACTGGAGGATTGTTAAAGCCGCAAGAGGAAGCACGGCAGCGGTTTTGCTGTTGGTGAAACGTTTCTGTTGCATGTGCAACACAAGACGTGAAAAAAGCTGTGTGGACACTGTCGGACTGGTCGAGGGTCCCAAGTGTACAAAAGCAGAACTGTTTTGAGAGAAGACGGGGATGTCAGTGCAATTTTCCTTGCTAGGCGACCAGAAGCAGGCCGTATTTCATCCAGCAAGGTGGCATGGGATTGCAACTTCTCAAGATGCAAAGGAAAAGCCATGGTTCAAGAAAAGTAGTCTCTGAAATACCCAACCCGGGTCAGATTCTTCTGAGGTAAATCATGAGAGGGCTTTGATGGGTTTGATTTTTCTCTTGCTGCAGCTCACGGAAGAAAAGCACCACTGCGTGAGCAGCAAGACCTGGATGATTCTGCTACGGCCCAAGAATGTGTCAGCACCTAGCAAGACCAGGGGTACCTCCAGATTCGGAGTTAGGCTGCCCAAACTGAGATGAAAGAACGTCCGTTGGCAATCGAGGCCGTTTGCGTTCTTGACGGGTGGGCTTATCAACATTGATGGTCATGCTGCCACGTTTGAGCAGCCAGCGCGCGGAGCCGGCCGCGCGCGGAAGAAGCGCTTTTCTGGGGCCAAGTCGGCGCTCTCACAGTCGGGAGTGGTCGCATACAGGGATGCTGACAGGGTCGACCATCTAGGAATCATAAACCGGCTTCCACGAGACCATCTAGGCTTTGCAAGCACGGCAGTGCTACTGCTGTAGAGCAGAGGATGTGTCCGGAACCGAGAAGGGCAAAGAACACAACGATGCTTCGGCACTAGGCAACGATGCTTCGGCACTTGGCTCAGGTGTTTGCAAAGCGAACGGTGGGCAACGTGCTCCGTTCACTGCTCTTTGATAGATTGCCAACTGTGAACGCAGAGAAACGCAGACACATATGTGTTTGCAGTGCAGAATGAAGCCTGAACCAAGGCTCGCGCATCCCTTCCAGAATGCCATCACCAAAGCACGTCCCAGAGTGGAGTGTGCGCTGATGTGTGCCAGACATGCATGATTTGTATATGGTTGTATTGGGTCCCTCTAGAATTATACGTTTCCATTGCGAGACTGAAACAACTCCTAGCTCATGTGCTATGATGGGCCTGATCTATGTATATAGTATATGTTTATAATTGCACAAGGCCAAGCGAACCAAGTTCACTACAAGCATGGGTTGGCACCCAGACCCAGACTAGGCAGTATGAAACAGCTTGCGAAGCAGGCAGAATAGCATAGTGTTGCAATCAAACAGTCGCCCAAATCACCTTCCAGTGACGTGAGATGCGACTATTGGCAATGATATGCAATGACCACCCAACATTGCAAAAGGCATTTGTTTCTGGCCTTCATTTGCCGCCTCAGTGACAAAGTTGCTTGAGCTGAACCACGAAGAACCACAAAACCAACATCCCACAAACAACAAGGAAGATGAGATTTGTTTGGTTTAGTTTTGCTGCTTGAAATTCTCCCAGGTGGCGTGTCACACAATCGCCTACGTTGTTTTCTCAAGCCTTGAGTGTTGTTTTGTGATTGTTGTGATTAAGCTGAAAGATGCTTTGGATCACTGTTTGAATGTGAAGAATTGAGTGTTGAGTCTTTGTTGAGCTTGTTGAAGATTTAGAACATAGTGACCACAGCAGCACTCAAGGAATTCAGCTGTGCTGAATCATTGATTCAGGAGCCAAGGATTGGCAAAGTGAGAAGACTCTGAAAAGTGCACCACCCATCACCACCAGAACAAGCTGCATACTGTAGTAATTGTCTTTGCAAGTGGGTCTTTTCGCTTGTGGAGGCATTTGCGTACACTTCATCCATTTCTTAGCCTTCAAATGTTGTGTGCAGGTTCCTTCTAAAGCTATGTAAGACCAAGAAAGAGTGTCTTTTTTGGCAGCGTCCAAACTCGCACACATCCATACGAAGCTGAGATAGATGTAAACGTTCCAAAGCTCCCTGAAGTTGGTGATACGAAACGCCTCTTGACTGCAGAGATGAACCACTAAGGTTGCTTGTCTCGCTTACTTTTGAGGGGAAAACGTGCAGCAGCAGCACAGATCAGGTTCTCGGTGCGACAATGTGAGACAAACAGATCAGGTCGAACTGCCAACTCTGACCTTCATCTTCATTGAACAGATCAGGCCAGGTGGAAAGTTGGTGATTGAACGAGCCTTGCTTGCCATTAAGTACTTTCGTGCCATTGCCGTTTTGTATAAGAATAGAATAGCCTTAAAGATCTTAAAGGAACTGACCTAGCAGATTGATGAAAACAGAAGAACCATGGAAATTCCCCACCTGTCAGGTCTCCTCCTCCGCCTCCTCCTCCTCCTCCAGACCTCAACCGCGAGTTCCGCTCGGCAGTGTTCCCCGCTGCACCTCAGGCGCGAGCTCCGCACGGCAGTGTTCCCCGCCAAACCTCAAACACCACAACACGCCATCACAAACACATGACCAGAAACACAACCACAAGCATGCCGACAAACACACAATCACAAACACACAGTCACAAACACAACGAAGCGCACAACCACAAGCACACAATCACACGCACAACGACAAGCACAATCACAAAAGCCCAATCGCAGCCACAGCCACAACACACAACCACAAAGACACACCCACAGCACAAAACCACACAACCACAACACACAACGACAGCACATAACCACAACACACAACCACAGCACACAACCACAAAGACACATCCACAGCACACGACCACAGCACACGACCACAGCACACCACCACAACACGCAACCACGACACACAACCACAACCACAAAGACACATCCACAGCACACAAGCACAGCACACAACCACAGCACACAACCACAACACACAACCACAAACACACAACCACCACACACAACCACAAACACAAACACGCAACCACACACACATTCACAAACATGTCAGACAGCGTGGCAAGTAGAATGTCAGAAGATATGCCAGAAAGAATGTCAGCAGATATGCCAGATAGAGCCAGAATGAATGTCAGAAGAGATGCCAGAAATAATACCAGAAGATATGCCAGATAGAACGTCAGAAGATATGCCAGAAAGAATGCCGAAAGAACATTGCAATTTATGCCAGAAAACGTATCAAATTTGAATGTCATGGTGGGGATTATTACTTGTTGCGAACTAGGTTGCTATTTATATGTTCAAACATCAACTTTGCCAACAACAAATGGATTGTTGATTTTGTTTCAAAGCCAAGGACTCCAGCATCCTCACCAGTGACCACCGCGTGTTTTTGGTCTGATTGCTGAACGTCAAGGCGCATTTGTAAGTCATACGACGTATTTGAGGGTATGGCAGGACGCAAATGCTATTTGGATCACGCTGTGTTTTAAGGCACGAAGAGCTGATTATACAATGCATTTCAGAAACGATTGATTAATTGAAAAAAAAAATTATACATTAAATAATTGAATTAATTATATAAATACCAATGGATGAATTATAAACAAATATTATATATATATTTTTGAATATTTAAATAATAAATATTATAAATATATATGTATTATATTTTAAATTTGTTTTATTCGAATATATATTGGTTTTATATACATTTTGAATTATTTTAGATATTAATTAATTGAATTATTGAAATATTATCGAGAGTATATTTTTAGCGTCGTTATTATTGATTATTTAAAGATAGTTTTTAATGTTGTTTTTAGATTAAATACGATATTTTAATATATATTATATTATTCGTGATAGATTTATATATTTAGGTTTTGATGTTAAAATATTGAGGATATTATTTGAATATCTTAATGTATATTTTATATAAGAAATTAAATTTTATATTTGGGGGATATAAAAAAATACTAGAAAGGAGCGCTTTGAGTGGCGCGTTTTTGCATTGTTTTATTTTATTTATATGTTGTTTTTATATTTGTATTGCGTTTCTATTGATTTTTCTGCCACTGC